CCAAAGACACCCATAATTGTTTTTTCTATAAGGACTAAAGAAGGCAGACAAATTTAGGTTAAAGCCTCAGATTTTGAAAAAAATAGAATGGGTCAAAACTCAAGAGAATGATTATTTTTACACTAAGAATTTATTGTTTAACCCTAAGAATCTCTGGATATTACTTTTTCCAATAGACATGTATATGTTGTAAGAGTATCTTGGATCCCACCAAAGCTGGGCTATAAAAATAACAAATAAAAATGGAAATAAATATTGAGGATTATATAAAAACATAACAATATTTACAAAAGTTATTATAATGTAATCTGCTCAAAATCTCCTTTTGCAATTTGTGAGGTCACTTTCATACATCAACCAAACACACATCAAGATATATGTGTTGTGTGGATACCACTATGCACAATAGAAGGCAGTGACTAGGCAGGCAATGACTAATGGGCTTTCAAAACTAGTTTTTCATTCTTGATCTAATTAGACTCATCTAGTATACCACCTACGTTTTCTCATTTCTCACTTCTGTTGAAACAGCCTGAGTCACTATTTTGATTGAAAATTTACAATAGAAACACTCTCTGAAGACACTTGGCAAATGGAGTCACTGATACTTCTCTACCTAGACTTTCTTAAATAGAAATGCAATCTGCAGATGCCCAACAACTTGAGTTAGAGATGTTTTCATAGCCTCATTTTCTTACAAAGACAAAAGGAGAGTGTAGAGGTTTTCCCTTAGCGTTACACAAATGTTTTGAAAGCATGTACTATACAAGACATTATAGTAGACAACAAAATATACGAATGAGTAAAACATAATCTCTAATCTTAAGGACGTTGATGTCTACTTGAGGAAATAAAACTTATTAATTTTATTGAACATGTATTATGTTAAGGCAATGATACTGAGTGCTAATAAAATGTGGGCTACATTCCCTTGAGAAGCATGGTCTGGTGGAGAGAAATAAATTGACAGTTCAGCATAGTCAATGTTACAACAGAGTAATACACAAAGTAATATGTGTGTACAGTGAAGATGAGGATGTGGGAGAGAGGTCACCTGGGGGGTCGCCTAAGCTAAACATTAAAGGATGAGTGAGATAATTCAACGTTTGCAGAGTAAAGCAGTTAGGAATTAACTAGATTGTTTTTTAACGGAGAAAGACAATCCAGAAAGCAGAGGAGGTCCAAAAATGGAAGCTGAATGAAATAGCCAAATATATGAAAGGTAGCTTTTGGTAAAGGCTATTAGCAAAGCATTACAACGAACTAAAAGAGTTCAGAAAGAAGAGAAATTACTTCTGACTGGAAGGATTTGGGAAAGGTTTTCTTGAAATGTGGTATTTGAGAATGGATAAGATCATGTAAGCACAAACTAAGAGGATGAGGACAGCAACAGGAAGGAAATTTCAGTTTGCTTCCATCTTAGGAAAAGCATGGGTCTGCAAATTGCAACCACATCTTAGGCAGACTAAAAGACTCCCAAGCAGATATACCCACCTATTCTTTCTAGTGAATAAAAAAAATCAATAATAAAAGTTACTATTATTATTCTGCATGATGATTTATGGGATTCATTATATATATGTTTAATCTATCAACAGAAGTATAGATAGTTAGCAGCTACCTCTGGTGCCCTGCAGCACAACTCTTGAGATACCTCTGATTTCAGCTGAGCTGTAGTGGACAGCTCCATACAGACTCGGCTCAACCATATGCTGAGAGCATCTCATCAAAAGCCCTGGGAGTGTTCTTACTTTCTGCCTCAGAAACCTCACTGACACTGTGCTGGGCAGAACAGAAGTGTCCTAAAGCTGCTAGGCTTTAGGGGCTTAAAGAAGACAGAACAATATACAGTGTGATTTAAGAACTCAAAGAAGGTGGGAGTGTGAAGGAATCAGAGAGTTGGATAAGGTAAACTGTTGAGGTTCCCAAGAGGTTGGGAGGGGGTGGTCTAGCCCACCAATAACCACAGTAGCAACCTCAATAACACACTCTCATATTGGAGTTTTCTCCCTGCCTCCTCTGTTCACTTCTTGGGAAATCACTTCCCAACTAAACAACTTGCACAGAAGCCTTTGTTCCAAAGCTCTGCTTTCTGGGAAGCCAAACCAAAACAAAGTTTTTCATATTTTAATTACAGTATATACAAATCTGAAATTCTAGCTTTTGAGAAATTTTGAGCTAAAAACACTAGTGATATACATACACTTCTTTTGATACTGTTGGGCTAACCAAACAATTCACAAGTTAAATTGAAAAGTATCAAGCTAGATGAACAGCAGTTCTAATTTTGAAAAAGCAGTATTAATCAGATATAAAATATAAACCCAATTTTAAAACCATGCTATAATAACTATCAACATGTACTTCTGAAAATTTCAATTACCTGAGAGTTTTACAATTGTCAAGATGTTGTGCAAGCCTAATACGGTAAAAGAAGGAGAAATGCAAATCCTCATTAAGCTTGATTAATGCTCTGGTACTTATAAATACCACATTTTGGCACTCCTTAATACCTTTCTTAATAGTTCACTGGTAGGTAAGGCTTAGTCACACGTCAGGAGTAAGGTCTATGGAACTGTGCATTATTAACTGACAAGAATCTAGAGAACAAACTTTGATTTTTTATTAGTTCTCAGCCCACCAACTGAGGGCTTGAAAAATCTTTTCATTGCACAAAGATATCTGTTGTGATGGGAATTTATACCAATGGGATTTAAACTATTATAAGTTTTCACAAAAGGTATGTTAAAAGCCTACACTGAATTGCCTAGTTAAGAAGAAAAATAATTTATTAAATGGTAGAAAAATAAAGATTATTTTAAGAAATCTTTCTTATAAGCCAAGATTTGCCGAATTGAAACCGTCAGTAGCCAAAAATAATCTGAAGCAAAGGGGATTCCCCTGAGCACTGCTAAGCAAAACAAAAGTTTTCTCAAGGGAAATGTGAAGTATGTCAAAGTGTAGAATTGAGTCATAGGGCCATTGGCTTCTTATTAGAAGGGTTGAGTTTCTGCCATTTGATACTGAATGTCTGCATAAACCAGGCAACTTGCTAGACACAGGAAATAAAGCAGATATGTCCCTATTCTCATTGAGTATACATTTCTAGTGAGGACACAGACAATAAATGAAAAAATAGAACCACAAACCATGCTTAGAAATTATAATAGGAAGGAGAAGTATAAGGAGAGAGAATAAAGGAAGAGACCAAATTTAGATTAGGGTCAGAAATAATGTCTCTGATTAAGCAATATTTATGCTGATACCCCAAAAAAGAGGAGGAAAGAGCCAGTTGAAATAAAACAAGGAGTTTAAAAAAAAAAAAAAAAAAACTTGTGTCTAATGTCAAAATGTAGAAAAGACCTCAGTGAGTTCAAAAAGAGCTTTTTAAATGAATGGATAGGAATATAATGATCAAGGCAAGAGCGACCCAACATAAGGCCAGAGAAGTGAGTAGAGACTAGATTATATGGCTCCTTGAGGCTGAATTAAAATGTTTGAACTTTATGTTACATGCAGTGAGATCTTAGAAATCACCTTGTCGAAATTTACATTAAATGCAAAATATAGATGTCAACAGGTCCTTTGTCAACAAGCTGACCATGTTACTTCTTGAACCCATAATTATTGGGGAATTTACTCCTTAAAATAAAGCCAGTTTTGATGCTGCTTATCATAACTATTAGAAATTCTGCCAATACAAACTTTATTTTGTGTGATTTGCCTTGATCATATAGAACAGCTTTGCATTAAAGATCCAGGGCACATCAGTATATCAGAATTACAAAACTGTGAGATATGATTAGCTCCAAAGACTCAGCTGAGGATAGGTCAGAGTGGATTTGCAGGGCTCTGGGTGAGGCAGTGAGCTCTTTTGCCCAGAAGACCACTATAGCAAGGACCATGTCGAAGGCATGGGGTGAAGTGAGGGGAGTAGACGGGAGGTTTTAAAAATTGTTTAATATCTTCCAGATACTAGATACCATATGAGTTGTCCTCAGGTTTCATATCATCATCACAACCACTTTATGAACTAAGTTTAATCACCTCCATTTACAGATGAGGAAAGGGAAACAGAGAGATTATTAGGCCCTCTTCTCTAAGGACAGAAATGGAAAGAAGTCTTTCACTATCAGGATCTGAAAAAGACCTGCCCTCTTTCCACTGATGAAGATGCTACCTAATAAAATTCAAGCCCAAACAGAATAAAGAGGTCAAAAATTCCCTTTTCATGTAGACCTTTCTTTGTCTTATCTTAGTATTACCCTCAAAATGTCCACCCAAAGCAGACTATCAATATCTGTTAATTAGTTGATGAATTCACATGATTGTGGCCATTCTGCAGTCTTTAAAAGGAAACCTATTTGTGTCAATAAACAATAAGCTCATTAAAAACCACTCATAAAACAACTAGGCCAAGGGAATTTTGTCTGATAACAGTGAAAGTAGGGAGTGAGGATTTAGCTGCAGAGTCTGGAAAGAGCCTGTTTATCACCCAGGGCCACAGAGTTTTGTCTTCAGGCTTAAGACAAATCACTGTAAGTGTGAAGGTGTTCAGAAAAATAAGTTCTCCCGTTGCTGCTGTCCTGAAAGTTTCTTTAAGCTTGCCTTTGAAAGACACAGCCAATAAATGACCGCTAGATGTCCTCAAAGTAAAAAAAAAAAAAAAAAAAAAAAAAAATCATGGCAGGAACGTACTTCAGCACTTTTAGAAACTACATTGACTTATTTGTCTAGATTATGTGACTCTTGACCTCTAAGCGAGATAGAGGGATTTGGTAGTTAAACATGAACATCCGATCTCTATAAATGAATTAGAGTTCTGTAAAGGAAAGGGTATTTAGTAACTTCTCATTTTCATTTTAATTCGGATTTGTATTACTCTGTTTCAGGAAAGCAGGCCAAGGAGACTTTGAATGACCAATGGAAACATTATCCTCACCAACATTAACCAGTCACCTGAAGAGCACTTTGAGTGAGGAGCACCTGGGACCAGCTACTTATCAATTTAAAACGTACAAAATCTGGGCTCTGGCCATCTTTAACATCAAAACAGCTGAAAACAAAACAAAACAAACAAAAAACATGGAATAGTTGGCTTGCGATTTCCTGAAACACCAGCTGCAATGCCTTTGATTTTTTACTTATGACATTAGCGAATGAAAAAGCACCATTGAGGACGTATGTCCGCCAGTTAGTCTTTTAAATGAACTCAGACTTCTGTAGTCCCCATTGGTCTCCACAGGCTCAGAGGCCCGTTTCCTCCTCGCCCCTTACCTTCCTTTCATCTCTTTTTCTTTTCCAGTCCTTTTCCCATCTCCACTTCTTCGGTCTCTTCATTTTTTTCACTCTTTTAACAATATCTTAGTTCACCACTTTTATACACAAAAAGTCCTGATTATGATTTTTTACATACTCAACTGAAATAATAAGCACTTGCCGTGGTTTTCAACAGTAAGGAAAAGGAAGCAAAAAGAGGGGGGAAAGAAGAAGAAAGAAGAGGAGGAATGAGAAAAAGATTAGAAAACAGGCAATTCTATCTGTACTTGTTCGAAACTTGAGAAGAAAAATTAGGTTACAGAGAGACAGGGGTTAGGGGTAAGATCTACAGAAAGCTGTTTTCCTTCATTTTCTCTGCCTCCTGGAGCACTGGCCTCCTATATCATGTGTTAGGAATTTCTAATCTTACCACAGTCAGATGACTCATGCCCACTGACTGAGTCTTTAGACTTCTACAAAACACCTGAAAAGATAACTTTTAATTGAGAAAACAATCTCTCACTCCAGGGTATGCTTTCAAGGTAGGTAGGGGAATTTTCAGCATTTGTTTCCATTTTGTTCACAGAAAACTCATAGGCCTTAATCTTAATTTCAGACATAGTTGTGTCTGACAGCCAGAGACTATTTTCAAATCAAAGGATAAACTGGCATGAACTGAGACTTGCTGCTGCCTTGGAATAAAGACTGAAATGAGTCAAAGTTGTCTTATTTGGGACCACAAAGCAGTGGGGCTATTGTGAGGGGAAACCTTGGCTCCTTGCAGAAGTTAGCTCATCAAACTATCCTTTCCCCTCACTCCACTAACTCCCTGTTGCCCTTTGGGGATGTGTTGTTTTCTTTATCTCCCTCAAGTCTAAAATGATCTTTCTTGCTAAATTCTCTGCATACAAGTCACACACACACAAAAAAAGAGAGAGAGGGAGAGAGAAATGTGGGGTCCACAGCATCTAATTCAAAGCGTGTTAACAAAACTCATAGAAATAATCATATAGCAGCACACCCCTTCTTTTTGCATAAAAAGAGAAAAAGAATCAAGGAAGCATTTTCTGAAAGTGTACATAGAACCCTGGACACAGAAGTAAACCATACATACAAACAAGTAACTGCCTATCCAACTTTAGTTTCCAAGATAAAAACTCACATTAAGTGAGCGCTTAGAATTTACTGAACCTGTGCTAGCGGTTCTATAAGAATTAGTTCTAAAACTCCAAACAGCTGTGTATACAATCTTTATATCTACTATCAGAAAAGCTAATACTTAGAGAAGTTTGAATTTTCCTTGCAATAAACAGCAGTTTCTTCTGACATAACTTGAACAAGGCCCTGTGCATGCCTGAGAGCCTGAGAGACCTGAGAATTAGGAAAAACTGAACTTGAAATTAAGAAGTGAAATTAGAGCTTTTATTATTTCTTGGATCTTCAGAAACTGTAATTCCCAATATGTCTCAGTATATATAGAGAAAGTAAACACACTCTGTGATCATCCCTGTTTTTTCTCTTTTTTTAAGAAGATTATCCCTATTCTGTTCCAGTAAACTCCATTTCCCATGGAATGAAGTCTTCCCAAAGCATCCATTAGCACAGGGCTAGTGGGCAGAGCCTCAAGGTTTGACCAAGAATGGTCTAGTCTGAAGTCTGAACTCCTATTTCTTCTTCAAGACCAACTTGCCACTCCTGGTGCCCTTTACTCTGCTGCCACTGAGACCAATTTCTAAGCACAGAAAGGCTGAAACTTTTAAAAATTGGAGTACTCTTGTATGAATGGAGGAGAGGAACGATGAAATGCCAATAGAATGAAGGAAAACTGACTCCCAAAGCCAACTCCCTTTCAAAAGTAACTTGTCTGCAGCACTATATCCCATTCCTGAGATAGTCCCTGAGATTATTTATTTCAGTGCTACTTAAAGTGTAGTCCAAGGACCTACAAATCACAAATTGTTTATTAGCAGTCAGCATTGAGATAAGAACAAAAATTGAGTGTGTGTAGAAACCTTGGATATTGCCACATCATCCAAGCAAAAGATTTTGCATTTCCAAAAATATCTGTGTGCCATAGATTGGAAAGTAAAACAATTCGGCCTTCATGACTAACAGCTTATAAAGCACTAGTTTGCTACATTAGGGTCTTGATAGGTGTCTCCAGGTTTCCCTTATAAGTACTGAGAATTACTCAATAAAATTCAAGCTTGTTGCCTTCCTTTCCAAGTAGAACATAAGTTTTTCCAGGGTGGGACTTTGTTTTGTTCACGGTTTCATCTCCACTTCCTAGAATCATGCTTAATGCTTAAAGAATATTTGTTGAATGACTGAAATATACTCATCCACCTCAGTGGGAATTGCCCAACTCTTGTCCGGAAGTTTCCCAGGACCACATTGAAAGCTCAGAGAACATAGGACTCAGGTGTTGGCCCATCCTTTGCCTCCAGCCTGTGTACTTACCTTCCTGCCATCTACAGCCTCCTTACCCAGCCCCATCCTGCATCTCCCCAGAAGGAGAGGCAGGAATTATTCTCTGCTTATTTTTCCAGATAAGCTTCAAAACAATTTGGTCACATCTCCTCAAAGAGGTCCATTCAGATTTTGATTGATATTACTTTAAATAAACATATCATCTTTTCTTTGAAAAGAAACATATCCTAATAACATTGGGCATTCTCAATCATAGGCATGATATGTCTGTATTTTCTTATACTCATTTATTTATAACTCACAATAAAATTTTATAGTTTTTCATATAGTTCCCATACATGTATTGTTAAGCAATTTCCGGGCTGCTTTATTTTTACGGTTGCTTTATTTTTACAGGGCTCTTTCCATGCCTTTTCCTTTTCTTTTCTGTCAACTTTTATGTCCCAGGGTACATGTACAGGATGTGTAAGTCTGTTAACATTGGTAAACATGTACCATGGTGGTTTGCTGCATAGATCAACCCATCACCTAGGTATTAAGCTAGCTAGTCTTTCTTGTGCTCTCCCTCCTCCCACCCCCTCCCATCCTCCAAAAGGCCCACTGTGTGTTGTTCTCCTCTCTGTGTCCATGTATGCTCATCAGTCAGCTCCTAGTTATAAGTGAGAACACACAGTATTCAGTTTTCGGTTCCTGTGTTAGTTTGCTGATGACAATGGCTACCAGTACCATCCATGTCCCTGCAAAGAACATGATCTCATTCCTTTTGATGGCAGCATAATATTTCATGGTATATATGTACAACATATTCTTTATCAAGCCTATCATTGATAGGCATTTGGGTTGATTTCACACCTTTGCTATTGTGAATAGTGCTGCAATGAATCTACTCTTGCATGTATCTTTATAATAGAATGATTTATAATTCCTTTGGATATCTACCCAGCAATGGGACTGCTGGGTTAATGGTATTTGGTCAGTAGTCTATGTGTCTATTCTGTTCCATGGGTCTATGTGTCAAATGGTATTTGACCCAGCAATCCCCATTACTGGGTATACACCCAAGGAGTATACCTCTATGTCTTCAAGGAATCACTACACTGTCTTCCACAATGCTTGAACTTATTCACATTCTCACTAACAGTATAAAAGCATTCCTTTTTCTCCACAACCTCACCAGAATTTTTTGTTTCTTGACTTTTTAATAAGTGCCATTCTGACTGGCATGAGATGGTATCTGATTGTGGTTTTGATTTGCATTTTTCTAATGATCAGTGATATTGAGCTTTTTTTCCATATGTTTGTTGGCCACATGGATGTCTTATTTTGAGAAATGTCTGTTCATGTCCTCCGCTCACTTTTTAATGGGGTTATTTGTGGGTTTTTTTCTTCTAAATTTAAGTTCCTTGTAGACTCTGGATATTAGACCTTTGTCAGATGGATAGATTGCAATTTTATTCCCATTTTGTAGGCTGTCTGTTCATTCTGATGATAGTTTATTTTGCTGTGCAGAAGCTCTTTAATTATATTCTATTTGTTAAATTTTGCTTTTGTTACTATTGCTTTTGGCACTTTCATCATGAAATCTTTGCCCGTTCCTGTGTCCCGAATGGTATTGCCTAGATTTTCTTCTAGAGTTTTTATAGTTTGGGATTTCATGTTTAAGTCTTTAATCCATCTTGAGTTAATTTTTGTATAAGGTGTAAGTAAAGAGTCCAGTTTTAATTTTCTGCATATCGCTACAGAGTTATCACAGCACCATTTATTAAATAGGAAATCCTTTCCCCATTGGCTGTTTTTGTCAGATTTGTCAAAGATCATATGACTGTAGGTGTGCAGTCTTATTTCTGAGTTCTCTGTTCTGTTCTATTGGTCTATGTGTCTGTTTTTGTACCAGTACCATATCCTTTTGGTTACTGTAGCTTTGTAGTATAAAGTTGGATAATATGATTCCCCCAAGCTTTCTTCTTTTTGCTTAGAATTGTTGTGAATATACAGGCTCTTTTGGGGTGCCGTATGAATTTTTAAATAGTTTCATCTAATTCTGTGAAGAATGTCAATAATAATTTAATGAGAATAGCACTGAATCTATAAATTACTTTGGGCAGTATGGCTACTTTCATGATATTGATTCTCCCTATCTATGCACATAGAATTTTTTTCCATTTGTTTGTGCCTTCTCTGATTTCTTGGAGCAGTGGTTTGTAGTTCTCCTTGAAGAGGTCCTTCATTTCCATTGTTAGCTCTATTATCAGGTATTTTATTCTCTTTGTAGCAATTGTGAGTGAAGTTCAATCAAGATTTGGCTCTCTCCTTCTCTATTGTTAGCCTACAAGGAATTGTAGCAAATTTTGCACATTGATTTTGTATTCTGAGACCACTGAAGTTGCTTATCAGCTTAAGAAGCTTTTGGGCTGAGACTATGGGGTTTTCTAGATACAGGATCAGGTCATCTGCAAACAAAGATAATTTGACTTCCTTTCTTCCTATTTGAATACCATTTATTTCATTCTCTTGCCTGACTGCCCTGGCCAAAACGTATGATGCTATGTTGAATAGGAGTGGTGAGACAGGACATCCTTGTCTTGTGCCATTTTTCAAAGAGAATGCTTCCAGCTTTTGCCAAGTCAGTATGATATTGGCTGTGGGTTTGTCATAGATGGCTCTTAGCATTTTGAGGTATGTTCCTTCAATACCTGGTTTATCGAGCGTTTTTAATATGAAATAGTGTTGAATTTTGTCAAAAGCCTTTGCTGAGTGTATTGAGATAGTCATGTGGTTATTGTCTTTCATTCTGTTTCTGCAATAAATTACATTTATTGATTTGTCTATATTTAACCAATCTTGCATCTCAGAGTTGAAGCCAACTTGCTCATAGGGTATAAACTTTTTGATGTGCTGTTGTACTCAGTTGGTTACCAGTATTTTCTTGAGGATTTTTGCATTAGTGTTCATCAGGGATATTGGCTTGAAGGTTTCATTTTTTGCTGTATCTCTGCCAAGTTTTGGTATCAGGATGATGCTGGCCTCATAAAATGAGTTAGGGAGGAGTCCCTCCTTTTCAATCTTTTGAAATCGTTTCAGTAAAAATCATATCTCTTCTTTTTACATGTGGTAGAATTTAGCTTTGAATCATCTGGTACTGGGCTTTTTTTGGTTTAGGCTATATATTGCTGCCTCAATTTCAGAATTTGTTATTGGTTTATTCAGGGATTCAGTTTCTTCCTGGTTGAGTCTTGGAAGGTGTATGTGTCCAGAAATTTATCCATTTCTTTTAGATTTTCTAGTTTATTGAATAGAGTTGTTTAAAGTATTCTCTGATGTTTGGTTGTATTTCTGTCGTTGTCAGTGGTAATATCCCCCTTATCATTTCTGATTGTGTTTATTTTAATGTTTTATCTTTTCTTCTTTATTAGCCTAGCTAGCGGTCTCTTTTATTAATTTTTTTCAAAAAACTATCTTCTGAATCCATTGATTTTCTGAAGGGTTTTTGTGTCTCTGTCTCCTTCAGTTCCACTCTGATCTTTGTTATTTCTTGTCTTCTGCTAGCTTTGGCATTTGTTTGCTCTTGGTTCTCTGTTCTTTTAGTTGTAATGTTGCAGTGTCAACTTGAGAACTTTCTAACTTTGTAATGTAGGCGTTTAGTCCTATAAATTTCCCTCTTACACTACCTTAGCTGTGCCCTAGATATTTTGGTACATTATGTCTTTGTTCTCATTACTTTCAAAAAACTTCTTGATTTCTGGCTTAATTTAATTATTCACCCAAAAGTCATTCAGGAACAGATTATTCAATTTCCATACAATTGTATGGTTTTGAGTGAATTTCTTTTTTTTTTAATTTTAATAATATATTTTACTTAACCCAGTGTGTCCAGTATATTACAGTTTCAACATGCAAACTATATACAATTATTAATGACATAATTTACATTCTTTCAGAATATTATGTCTTTGAAATCTAGCATGTATTTTATGCTTACAGCACATCTCAATTTGGAATAGCTATTTTTCTTTCTTAAAGGATGGGATCTTGTTCTGTTGCCCAGGCTAGTGTGCAGTGGCACAATTATAGCTCATTGCAGTTTGAGTGAATTTCTGAATCTTGAATTCTAATTTGATTATGCTGTGGTCTGGGAGACTGTTTGGTATGGTTTCAGTTATTTTGCACTTGCTGAAGAGAGTTTTACTTCTGATTATGTGATCAATATTAGAGTAAATGCTATGCGGTAATGAGAAGAATGTATATTATGTTGCTTTTGGGTGGAGAGTTCTATAGATATTTATCAGATCCAGTGATCCAAAGCTAAGTTTAAGTCTTGAATATCTTTGTTAGTTTTCTGTCTCAACAATCTGTCTAGTATTGTTAGTGGGGTGTTAAAGTCTTCGACTATTACTTTGTGGGAGACTAAGTCTCTGAATATCTCTATGAACTTGTTTTATGAATCTGGGTGCTCCTATATTGTGTATATATATATTTAGAATACTTAACTCATCTCGTTGAATTGAACCCTTTACCATTAGGTATGTCCTTCTTTGTCTTTTTGATCTTTGTTGATTTAAAATCTGTCTTGTCAGAAACTACAATTGTGACCCCTGCTTTTTTCTGATTTCTATTTGCTTGGTAAATTTTACCCCATCACTGTGTTTTGAGCCTATATGTGTCTTTGCACATGAGATGAGTCTCTTGAAGACAGCATAGTGATGAGTCTTGACTCTTTATCCAGCTTGCCATTCTGTGTCCTTTAATTGGGGCATTTAGCCCATTTACATTTAAAGTTAATATTGTTGTTTTGTGTTACTTTGATTCTGTTATCATGATGCTTGCTTGTTATTTTGCAGACTTGTTTTTGAGATTGCTTCATAGTGTCACTGGTCTTTGTACTTCAGTGTGTTTTTGTAGTGGTTGGTAATGTTCTTTACTTTCCACATTTTGTGCTTCCCTCAGGAGCTCTTGCAAGGCAGGCCTGGTGGTGATGGATTCCCTCAGGATTTTCTTGTCTGAAAATAATCTTATTTCTCCTTTGCTAAGTTTGGCCAGGTAAGAAATTCTGGGTTTGGAATTCTTTTCTTTAAGAATGTTGAATCTCTTCTGGCTTGTAGGATTTCCACTGAGAGAGGTACACTGTTAGTCAAAAGGTTCCTGTAGGAGGTGTCTGAAGACCCCTATTGAGAGGTCTCACCCAGACAAGTGGAATGGAATCAGGAACCCACTTAAAGAAACAGTCCATTTGCCCCTTTGCAGAGCAGGTACGCTGCTCAGACCACCTGGCCTCTCCAGAGTCAGCAGCCTGGAAAAAGCAAGTTGGCTGAACCACAGAGACAGCTAAGCTGCCCCTTCCACTAGGGATTTCATCCCAGGGAGAAATCAGTTCATATAACCCTGGCTGGAGTTGCTGAAATTTGGCAGTGAGGAGAGATGGATCAGGATCCCTCTTATAGAAGCAGACTGGGGCTGGGTGCAGTAGCTCACACCTGTAATCCCAGCACTTTGGGAGGCCAAGGCAAGCAGATCACGAGGTCAGGAGTTTGAAAGCAGTCTGGCCAACATGGTGAAACCCCATCTCTACTAAAAATACAAAAATTGGCCAGGCATGATGGCTCACACCCGTAATCCCAGCACTCCATTGTCTCAGGCCCTCTTCAGCCTACTGTTGCTGGCCAGCTATAATTCCAAGCCAATGGTTCTTAACTTGTGAGGTGACATGGGAATGGGGCCTGCAGAACAATGCTAACTGAATTCAGCCCCCTTCCTAGGGGAATGCACAGGATTCCTTGCCAGAATTCCTAGAGCTACAGTATACCAAACTCCTGGGTTTCCCTGTGTGCCCACGTGAGTAAGCAGCCACTCTGCTGAGATTCCACACAACTCTGTGCTTCATACCCAAGGCTCTCATGTGAGAATCTGGATACCTCGGTTGAAAGTACAGAATTTACTTGCCATTTTGTGAGAGCTGCAGATTATGCTGCTTCTAATCACCCATCTTGGTTCCTTCCTGCCCTTTTATTTTCTAATTGCTGCTATAGAAGAATGAAATCAACTTGCAAATGTTTATTTTTTATTCATTTGATTCAGCTAATTCTAAAAATTTTTTATTTGAATAATTTGGGCATAATATCACATTATCAACAACTAAAATTGTATATTCTTCTGTTTTCTTCCTCTAGGTGTCCCTCTTTCTAAGTTCTGTTTCTTACTGCAATCAGCAGAGTGAATTCTTAAACACACCATTGTTAAGGAAGATTCTGAGGATGCAATAGACTATCTAAAGAACAAAATCATGAAAGTGCCAATCTCACTCCGGGATGTTGCAAATGCCATACTTAAAGTTCTTAATATTTATATCGTGGATAGACAAAAAGATAAATAATCATTGTCAATACCTTATAAGCCAAGAGAAAAGACAAGAAAATGAAGTAATAAATTTAAACAAAATGGATGAAGAGAATTGATAATAAAAATTGATTCATCACCACAAATATCTTAAGAAGTGCTAGTGTACGTCACTAGATTCTTAGTGTCACTGGATCTCCTTTATAAAGCCTAAGAATCAAAAGACACTTGTAAAGAGATACTTTTCATCAGCCAACAGAATATTTTCTGAAGCTTTTGAACCCTATAGACCCTAAAATAAACTAAATATTATGTATTACCTAGTATTTATATTATAACCTAATATTAATATTAAATAACATTATTTAATATTAAATAATGTTATTTAATATTAATACTAGGTTGATAGAAACACAATTGCAGGTTTTGCCATTGATAATCATAGTAATTTCTGAATTTAGGTGTCAATGCTATATTTGAAATGAAACATAAAAGTGACTGGCCACTATGCACATATTTTTTAAAATGATTGATGGGTTTCTTAAGCTCAAGCAATTCCGTCACAGAGTACTTGGCCGTTCTTGATAAGAGTCAGAGCTATTCCCCACCTACCTGATACAAGAAGGAACCCAGTGAAGATTTCTTCAGTTGTATTTGAAGAGACCTACTGCGAGAGCTGCCTTTCCTCTCTTGCCTGGATGAAAGGGTTGGCATGGTCTTATAGATACAGAGATACAGAACCTGTGGAAACAATCCCATTTTCACATCTCTGCTATAAGCATGCACTTAACCCTGACTAGAGTGTGAGCAAATGTAATCTGTAACTTGTCTTTATTAAGCCTTTACTCAGTGAAGAATAATTCTCCCTTAAGAATTTTGAAATTATAAGCTTCTGATCAAGAAGGTTGTGGGGTGGGAGTTTTCATTTCTATATCTGAAAGTCCTGGAACCCTGAATTCAATGTAATAAACTGAATGTCCTTTTAGGTTGATAACACCCTAGGATCTTGTCAAAAAGAAACACAAATCCTTTCTGGAACTTAGGGTATCCTTATCATCGTCTTTTTCATAGTAAAAGAAAAAATTATCATCAGTCAAATATGAGGCATCAGAATTTGTTAAAAATAAGGATGTGAGAAAAAATAAATAGAATTTCAGTTATAAATAGATAACAATAAATACATAATCTAAATACCAGATTATAATGAAACAAAGAAGTGGTAAACTAAGAGCAAGATCTGAATAAATTATACTTACTAGTTCACAGAGTAGAAAAGCATTGGGAATGATATGTTTAAAGACAACGGGGATAGAATGAAAAAAGTCTAATAATTGTACAATTAGAGTTCCAGAAAGAGAAAATAGAGAAAATGAGATTGTGTTGGTTATCTATTGCCATGCAACAAATTACTCCAAAATTTAGCTGTTTAAAACAAGCTTAAGTTGTTTCTCATGGTTTCAGAGTGCAAAGAATCTAGAAGCAGCTCACCTGAGTAGTTGTAATGCAGGCTCTCCTATGAGGTTGTCATGCTGTCAGCCAATGATACAGTTATCTAGAACTTGACTAGTTCAATTCGCCAGGATCATATACAAATTATAAATTTGTATATACATATCAACATAGCCTCATAATAGATAAAGAAAAAAATTAAGAAAGCTGCCAGGAAAAATTGATAAAATCCACAATTTTTAAGCAGAATTTTAACATACTTTCTACATAATGAGTAGATAAAGCAAACACAAATTAGGAATAAAGAATATTTGAACAGCTTAATTAATAACTTATCTAATGGGCACAAATTAAATCCTAAGTTCCTAACAATAAGATAATATACATTCTTTTCAGGCATAAATGAAACCTTTATAAAAATTGGTCATACATCAGTCCATAAATAAATCTCTCAGTAAATTTCAGTAAGTGTCATTCAGACCATGTTGTATGTCCTTAGTGCCATTATATTTGAAATCAGTAATAATCATTATTATAAGAAAATAGATTTGGGAAAAATCGTAAACATACTTTATTCAATAATTAAAGTATCAAACAAAAAGTCCTAATGAAAGTTAGAATATACCTAGGACTGGACTACAGCACTTACAGGAGCAAGGGCCATGTCTATTTCTTTAATAAATGTACACTCTAGCACTTAGCACTACCTTTCCCACTCTCTGGTAATGATCTGTCTACCCCCTTACTCTCTATCTCCATGGGTTCAATCATTTTGATTTTTATATCTCATAAGTAAGTGAAAACATGATGTTTGTCTTTCTGTACCTGATTTATTTCACTTAACATAATGACATCCAATTACATACATGTGGTTGCAAATGACTGAATCTTGTTCTTTTCATGGCTGAATAGTATTTCATTGTGTGTAAGTACCACATTTTCTTACCATTCATATGTTGAAGGACATGCAGTTTGCTTCCAAATCGTGGCTGTTGTAAACAGAGCTGCAACAACTAATTTCCTTTCTTTTAGGTATATACCCAGTAGTGGGAAGGCTGGCTTATATGCTACCTCTATTTTTAGTTTTTCTGACAAACCTCCAAACTGTTCTCCATAGTGCTTGTATTAATTACATTCCCACCAACAATGTATGAGGGTTCCGTTTTGCTTTTGGCTGACTTGACACTCAAACCACAAGACACAGTCCTTCTCGCCCTCCCCTCCCTTTTCCAAAGGCAGAGGAGCCTCACCCAGTGGATATCACTATCTCAGGCCCTTGGGGATTGTTACCAGACTACCTCTGATGTTCCTTTAACTGAAGGCTTCAAGGCTCTTCAGTCAACTTGTGGTGAATATCACCTGGCTGGGACTCACCCTTCAGGGGAGTGAGTTCCCCTCTGGCTCTGGGAAGTACCAGAAATGCCATCCAAAAGCCAAGTCCTGGAACTGGGGACCCTAGGAGCCCACTTGATACTCTACTCCACTATGGCTGAGCTGGTACTTAAAGTGAAAGACAAAGTTTCCTTTACTTTTCCATTCACGCTTCTCAAGCAGGAGTCTCACCCTATAGGTACCACAACTGGAAATGTGCCAAGTCTCTCCTAAGTCCAGCAAGTCTTAGCAACTCACCTAAGGCCTGTGATGTAGTACCTGGATACTTCTGTTGGTTATTCACAGCCCAGGGGCCCTTCAGGTAGCAAGTGATGAATCCTGCCAGGACTGGGTCCTTCCCTTCAAGGCAATGGATTCCCTTCTTGCCCAGGGTGTGTCTAGAAATGTCCAGGAGCTAGAGTCTAAAATGAGGGTCTCACAATTCTGACTGGTGCTCTATCTTGCTGTGGCTGAGCTGGTATACAAGGTGCAAGACAAAGTCTTCCCCACTATCCGTCTCCTCTCCTCAAACAGGAGAAAGGGGTCTCTTTTAAAGCCAGGATTTGTGCAGCCTGGCGTTCAAGGATGGGTGATGCCAGCACTCCCTTAGCTGCCCCAGCTGGTGCCTCAATAGGTCACATGCACCCACAGTCCACTGTCTCTTGGTCCAGTTCAGCCTATGACTCACCTTGGTGTTGCAGTCCTTGTGGCCTAGACTGCCTTCCAACTTTATTTAAAACCCAAAGCACTTTAGCCCACAGTGGTGAGGCTTGTAGGAACTCAAGTCCCAACCACCAGGATCGCGATTCTCCTCTGGCTCAGGCTGGTTTAAATGCTCCCTATGTGGAAGGGTGCCAGCTGAGTTTGATCCAGCTCTGCTTTCTGCTATAACAAGGGTAGCACTGAGTTCAATGCCTCACAATTGCTGGATCTCCCTCTCCCCAGGGTGCAGAAAGGCTCTCCGCACCACATTGCCACTGCCAAGGGATCAGGGAGAGATGGCACAGGGAATTCAAGACTATTTTTTCTACTTCTTTAGTGCCTCTTTCAGTGACATGAATTTAAAACCAGGTACTATGAGTGCTCGCCTGATTTTTAGTTCTTATGAAGGTCCTTTGTTGTGTGTAGATATGTGTTAAATTGGTGTCCTTGTGAAGGTAGGTTGGGGGATGATCGGCGGAGCCTTCTTTTTCTTCACCTTGCTCTACCCTCCTTTCATTCTTCTATTAAAAGTATTAAGTTAAATAAATGGGAAGAAAAAAAAAAGTATTAAGTTTAAGTGCTCAATGGGTAAGGTGTTAACATTAATCTAGACACTATAGAAACAGTTATAAACAATGTGAAGTATTTCCCACATTATCATCACTCCATCACTTGGAGTTTACATTCTAATAAAGGAGAAAGATAAGTAGATGAATTAATGTGTTAGTACAGTTCAGTTTTATGAAGAAAATAACAAAATGGATAAAGAATGAGTCAGGTGATACTATAGAAAATGTAGCCAGCTGTGGTCTTTCTAAGCAAGCAAGATTTTAACACAGACTTGAAAGACATAAAGGAATAATCCACAAGATATCTCAGAGAAGGGTGTTCTAGCTAGAAGGAACGACAAATGCAAAGGTCCTGAAAAAAGAACACGAAGGATGTGTTAGATTTTTTTAAAGGACAGTATTTTATGATTTTAAGTAATATTTTGCCTATATAATCTTAAATTTTTAACACAGAATATTTTTTGTTTGTATATTTTGTTTGCACTACACACCAGAATATACAAACAGAGAATCTGCTGTACCAATGACAGGCCAATTGCTCTGAAGACACAGACTCTGTTTCAAGAAACTTAATAAGTAGGCTCTGGAAATTGGAAGTGATCTTAGTATTTAAGTTCAGTCACTCAACTACAATCTCTGAAACTGAGAGAAATGTGATCTTATTGCATCATGTAATGAAAGTTTAATTTTTTAAAGGAACAACAGGAATATCACTTGCAAAACAGAAATGGGGGTTTACCTTTCAGAGACTAAAGTATTTTAGTAGTCATGAATCAACTGCTTATTTCTCTATTTAATGATTTACTACTGCCTTATCAAAGGCATCTCCTTGTTAGCTTTTTATGAGGTTTATCATCTAAAGCCAGCTTCCAAAATTAGAGGCTAACAAATGAGTAGCTACATGTCTAGATGTGCAACAGCTGACTTAGAAGTAATAAAAAGTCCGTCCCCATTCCCCCCTAATTCAGCTGCGTGATTAGTCTGTGTCCACTGGCAGAACCTGGTAAAGATCTGGAAATCATTCTGTTAATGTGTTCAATGCGGAAAGCTTAGAGAAAAGCCTCTTCAAAGTGGCTTTAAAGAAATTCAGTAATCTGATTTGACCGTTAATACTAATCATATTTTGAAGTCTCAGACCTCCGCCCCCTTCTGTCTTCTGTTTGTAGACAGAGGCAAATATTGATATTTTGATATTTATTTATAATTTTGAAAATCATGGTTTTCTCTAGTGTGCCATCAGATTTCACCCATCTGGATTTAGATTCCACTAATTTTGGAAGTCTACATAATGCTGACAGTGTCATTAAAAGGTGCTGTCTGTAAGGTAAATCCTTTTTTTTCCTGGAAAATTTATAAGTAATTTATGTAAAAATATTAGCAAGTGGTGGAGATATTTTATATTGCATTACAGAGCAAAAATGTTTATGTGCCTCAGAAGTATCCTTTCTAGCCCATTTTAGACATATTGGTGTGTCCTGTGTTGGAATATATTTGTATGATAAGTAGGCTAGAGAGAGAGAGACAGAGACAGACAGACAGACAGAACATGTTGAACTCTCACAGCATGAATACTATAGATCACTAGGACCTCAGACCTCTTCCTCAAGTTTGCAAGTTTAGAAATTTCATATGTTCAGTTTTCTCAGGACTGATCAGCCACCTGGAACCTGACTCATTCTAATGATCTCATACAAGAATATTTACAGAAAGTTTACATTTTAGCCATTTAAAAAATTCATTAGAAGAAATCTCCCAGGCCAAGATCTAAGGCCAATCACCTTTCTTTTCATGGGAGGAAATATTCAGTTGTAATGTTTAGTTGGTAGAAAGAGAATTCAAACCAGAGAAGTTGGTATTCTGTAGCAGATGTCACTATTGATATTAGAAAGAATGGAAAACAGAGCTGCTGCTAAAGTAAGCAAGCTGACAGCTGAGGCAGAAGTGTATAAACAGCAGCATGTTCATGCGGTCACTACATTGAAGATCCAGTCCAGTTATCTGGCAGTGCATACACTCAATGCTGTTGGTACAATCACAGAAGATCGATCCGAGGAAGATTAATTATTGTTAATCTAATTCACATGCGTGTATATGCAGGTTATTAGTGTTCTTCACAAAATTTTTCTGGATTTCCACTTTCCTGGTACATAGTAGGACTGCTTTTCCCTACCTCTCTGATATTACATGTGAACTCATTGCTTTAGCACCCCTGTCCCCCCGCAAAAAAAGTGAATAGAAGTAACATGTGTCACTTCCAGGCAGAAGCTCTAAGAGACAGTGTGTTA